CTTCCGATAGCGCCTGTTCCTTTTCCACCCTCAAATTCTCCAATTCCTGACGGTGTTTCTCCTCCATTTCGGAAATGGTGCGTCTGTGAGAGTTCTCCATGGCGAGCAGACCCTTCTCGCACAACGCTCGCAGCTGCTTGATCTCTTCCTTGTACCTCTTCCGTGTTTCCGCGTCTGTGTCCAATTCCGCGCTCATCGATCGTTGATAAGCGGCTCTAAGTTCGTTCACGTGAGCAGAGTGCTCGGAATCCATGGCGTTCAGTCTGTGTTCCAATTTTCTAGCCTTTTCTCGTAAACTGGCCGCTTCCAGTTCGTACTGAGAGGTTAAAGATTGCCGCTGACTGTCTAGTTCACCCTTGATGTCCATCAAGTCCCTCTCCTGGTTGCGCTTCAACGTTTCCAATTCTTTATTGTGCTCCACCGTTATCCTCTGAATGGTTTCCTGCAATTGGTCGCACTGTTTGCAAGTCACGCTATTCATGTGGTCGCTCAGCTTCTTGATCTGCTCGCGCAGCTGCGAGCATTTTTCACACACGCTAGACCAGTCCGCGATGACTGACGATGACTTCGACGGCCACGCCGTGTTCTCGCTATTCTCGCATAATCTCTCTCGAACGCGTTTGCCCAGCTCCACCAAGTCCTCCTCTAGGTAGAGCAAACTCTGGCCGACGTTCTTCATCTGCTCCTTCGAGGTACGCTTCGAGCCTGATATCCTGTCCTCGCAGTCCTTGCTAAACTGCTGATAAAGGTAACTGTACTCCGCGTCGAGAATCGGATTGCTTTGGAACTCGTGATCGTCTGCTGTTAGCAGACTCGAAAGAACGTCGTCGTTTCGGATTAGACTAGATACGAAAGTCTCTCCAGGGAAGGTCGTCAACTGTCTCGTGTTCTCCTGAAGAAGCCCGATTCTGGCGTCTATTAAAGCTTTGTGCGCGATCACGTCCGCGTAGTCCGTTAACAGCTGTCGGGACTCGTATTTCGATTCGACCATCGTCGACTTGTTCTTCTTCAACTGACGAAGACATTCCTCATACACGTCGGACAGTTCGTGAGTGGATAGTTCCATCTCCTGGCGCAGCCTAGCCTGCGCCGCATCGATCCAAGATTCCAACGTTATGCTCTCCGTGTTGTCGAAATTGAGGCAGGCATCGGTGATGCTCGTGATGTTCTGCTCGTACGTCTGACCACATCGCATGATCACGTGAGACACTTCCGCCTGTACCAACTCTTTGCTCACCGTTTCCTGAGCCAATGCCCATGCCTCTCTAATTCGTCGATCTTCCAGTAACTTTCTGCTCGAATTCATCACTTGCTGTTTGTTCGAATCTTCCTGCTCGGACATGCTCAGCGTCTCCGCGGCCAGAGCTTCCGCGAGCTGCCTCAATTTCGTCTCTTTGTATCTACGAACGACTTCGTTCATCTCGCGTTGTTTCTGTAGCAAAAAATTTAAGCTCTCGCTACGAGCTGCGGACACCTCTTTAGTCGTGGTTTCCGTCGCGGCCACGCCACCTACTAGTACTAACTTATTAGCTAACACTCTAGTAAGATACTGAATGTAACTGGTGTTTTGGTACGTTTTGGGCTTAGTTCCGTGAATCTTACGCATTAAGCTTGAGGCAAGCTGACTAGTTTCGACCAATTCACTGAGAACGGCACTCCGGTCGAATGACCGGCCGACCGCGCACTTGACCTGTCTCAGAACGACAAACTCGAACGCCACCCTCTCCGCGATCAGCTTCATCTTCTCCCGATCGTCCAGCTGGCCGTTCTGCTCCAGCGTCTGCCGTCTCTTCGTGAGTTCGCTCAATTTATCTTTAAGTATAGTCTCTAGTCTAGATACCACTACGCCTACTGACTCGGTCACTTGAGCGCTAGCTTGGGTTTTCTTACATTCTAAGCACGAGTCCAGGATGTCGTTTACCTCGCGTAAACACTTCTCCGCTTTATCCTCCGCTTGCGTCGAACCTAAACATTTCTCCAGCCTTCTCTTCGACTTTGACACCACCCTCTCTAATTTCCTTAACCTCGCGATGATCTCTAACGAAACTTCGCTGGTAGAAGACGCACTGATCTCGCTACACTCGCTGGAGTCCTTCTCGGCGTCGCTCGCCATATTTTCCGCCACGTTCGCCACTTTCGTCTCCAACGTACTCAGTCTGATCAATACCTTCATCGGTTCGGAGCTGGTTGCACTGTCCAGCGATTTTCTTCTTAATCTAGAACGATCCAGACTCTTGCCATCCCTCCTCTTCTCCTTCTTTGGATTCGGACTCGACTCCTTCGAGCTGCTTCCAGTCGACACGGGGGTGCTGATGCTCTTCCCGCGTTCTATAGCACAGATCTTGTTCTCCAGATCCAGCAGCTTGTCCTCCATCTCTTGGGAGATTTGAAAAGACTCACGGCCCTTCAATGATAGCGATCTCCTCTTATCCCTGGTTTCGACTTTTGTTAGCTTCTGTTTCAGCGTCCTTACTTGTTTTTCGCTGGCCGCAAGCTTGTTCGTCAAGTCTTGGATCCTGGCTGCCATTAACTGTATCTGGGCCTGGTTCGTCTCGCTGACACTAGCTGCATCCTGCTTATGAGCGAAGATTTCTAGTTCCAGTGCGTCCTGTATCGCATGCGCTTCGCGAAGTTCCTTGCGCATCGCGCGTATCTCCAGGATAGCTTTCTCGAAGCGGCTTCGGAGTTCGTCGTACTCTTCCACGATTCTAAAAACGAGAAACGTTAACGATGTATCTCGATCTCGTTCCTACATCTTTGCGCCACACTTACCGGTCGAGTATATGCCTTACCTTTCCTTGTCGAGCGAATTCAGGTCCAGATCTAATTCGATATTCGTCAAATCGCTGAGAGAATCGAAACTCCGCCCACGCTCCCTCGCAGCGGACAATCCTCCTTTGTCTTCCAACTCTCTGACTTTGCTATATAAACGCTCGTTTTCGTCTATCCCTAAATCAGCGACGACACGATAAATGACCCAATTAATCACGTAAGGATTTTATTCGATCAACGTACCTTGAGACAGTCTGTTACTCAAAGAAGCTATCTCCGATTGCAGATGTTCAACAGTTCTATGACTCGATGCCAACTCTTTGGTAAGCATCTCACACCGCTCACTGGTCTCCCTGAGAATAGCCTCCGTCTCCAGTAACTTACACTCCAACATCTCTTTGTCCCTGTTGTACATCTTCTTCATCTTCTCCAGGTCCTCCAAATCCTTGTTCCTCTGCTGCTCCGTTCTCTGAATCGTGTTCAACAGCTCGTCCACCTGCTTCTCTCTGATGGAAGCTTCCGCCTTCTGCTGCCTCAACCTAGACAGCTCTTTCTCGGCGCTGGCAACGTCCGCTTTCGCCGTGTTCAGCTGCGACTTCAAGCTCTCGATTTCGCTCTCCTGACGCTCGATAATGACTAGTAGCGTGCTTGGGTGGGACTGATTCTGATCCAGCTGATCACGCAGCAGGGATACCTGGCTCTCCAGCAATTCCACGATTAGCGGGCTCTCGTTGGCGCTCGAGAGACAACTGTTGCTCTGCATGTGCCCGTTGTGCTGCTCCTCGTCTTCTCCGAGTTCGCAGCAAGCCATCATTAGATCCTCTGACCTCACGCTGTCCAAAGTGCTCCTCCTTGAACTCAAAGGCGAGCTGCAGCTTCTTTTGTACACTCTAGACCTGGAGCTTGATCTGGACCGAGCTTTCACTCGCGACAGCGCCGTTCTGGTTAACGGCGGCGACGGTGGTAATTCCGACCATTCGTGGTTCGCCGAGTCTGACCAGCTGGAACCCTTCAATCCGCTGGGCCAGTCGCCGTTTCTCACCAGAGGTGGTGACACGGGCACTTCGGACCAGTCGCCTGACTCTCTCCTGCCACCCTCTGACGCTGTTCGATATTCCTCGTCCGAGGAGAACAGCACTGAGCGTGGCGTGACAGAGGTCGAGGGAACCACCGAGTCTCTTTCGCGGTCCGTGATGGATCTAAAATCAGACAGGGGACTTTAAGTGAATCCAAACGTGCCTTCCAGGTCTATACCAATTCGTAAACACCCTAACGCTATCGGTCGTTCGATTCGAAATCTGATGGATGTCAGCACAGCTGAGTGACACAACGATATCAATTTTCCTTTCAATCCTGTGTCAACTAAGTATCCTGTCAACTGGGAATCTTATCGAAAGGACTATGCTTTGCTACACTTACGCAGTGGGTGATTGCGGAGTGGTATCTGGCTGGCCATCCTGACAAACGGTGAGAGAATCACTGCTACTGTCCGGGTCTGGTAAATTGGCAGCCCTCCGAATGGCCGACATCCAACTGGCCCGTATACCAGCGGTGACCGCGGACAAGACGGTAGTTCCTCGATCGTCCCAGGCCTTGAGATGGCGCGAGAAAGAAAAGAAGGTAAACGATGGAATAAACGGGGCAAGAAGAAAGCAGAGAGGTTATCGTCTATGTGGGACAAGCAGCGGGATACAGCGGGTGACAGAAATCAGTGACACGAATAAACGAAGAGTTCCGAGATCTGTTCTAGCGTGAAATTGAGTTACCGACTTTTTCCAGCCACTCCCATCCCGAGCACGGAAGTTAATTCCGGCAATCCAATTGACCAGCAAGCCCCCGGGAGATTCACGGCTAACTATAGTCCTCGTGGAGGATTCTGGAACGCTGATGCTTTCCTATTTGCACGTGCAGCGAAGCAGACGGAAGTTTAGACACCGGTCCAGCCGGTAGACAATGTAAACCGACTCGTTTTGCATTGTATCCGATTAGGCGAGAAGGGACAGGAGGGAAGAAAATTGCGGCTCCGTAAGGTCTAACTGGATCTCCGTTCGCTCATTCGTTCATTCGTTGGTTCGTTCGCGCGGAATGTTAATTACCGTAAATCACCGCGTGCAAATCCGCCGGTCACACTCACCACAGTCTGGAATCCATAATTTCTTGCGACTAAAAGGGGCGTGACGGCAGTAACGGTATTCAGATCTATGACGCCGTCCATGATACCCTTATCTTCCGCGCAGGGATCTCGGTAGTACATGAGACCGCAGCCGCGCAGCACGAACCAATGCTTGTTCCATTCCTGAGGAATACACCATTCGTTGCATACATATCGACTCTCGCCGAGGCTACCGAGCTGGAATTATCACGCGAAAGACGAACCTTGTTCAATCCCTGTTTCATTAGCCAGCCTTTCTTGATGTTCAACAGATCCTCGGCGGGCAGGTCGACCCTCAGTTCGGAGGTAGGGGAGTATCTAATGCCGGAGATGTCAAGGCCGCATCCGTCTGGATCACCTCTGATCTGTACGACATTATCAAGCAATTGCTGTTACTCTGACTGCTCGTGAAAGGTGTACACGGGGATACGAGAGTTCGCAGTCACGGAGGCTTAATTGTCTATTGGATCGCTAACTCGAGAGGACTGGCGAGATGCGTTTCGTTCGATCGAACCTAGAGACGTGGGTCGTCTGAGCTAATCAGAGGAAAACATTCGTATAAATTGGATACTCACGAATTTGTCCTGGTAAGCCGCATTCGCCGCATCCACGACGTCCCGAGTGGGCTCGGAGGTTCTAGGCTTGATCCTCCTGACGCGTGGCTGGGTCAAGGAGGCAGCGATGTCTCGCAGCTTGCCCTCTCTTGCTCCAGCAGGATTCTCCGACAGGCGTCATCGTCTGAAGCACACGTCGAACCGTTCACCATTTTCTGCTCCATTCGATAGAGTCATCCTGCGCCTCCCGTTACGAGAGGATAATGACAGGCTAGCGTCTAATGGTCGTGATCGAGCAGCAACAGAAATGCGTTTCCGGGCTTCTACCATCGCGCTGGTCGCGTTATCAAAAACGTACGTCGCCGGCTACACCGATAATCTACTTTTTCAGCTGGACGCTGGCAAGGCCAGACGAACGACTGGTTAATTGACTGCCGACTAATTAATAACCCGGACCCGGTTCGCGTCCACGACCAGGCGAGAACCAGGCTTATCTCGCTCGTTTATCCGCGTTTCTATCGACCCGCCATCGAAATCTAACCGCCATTACTATGCTAATAACAGTTTTCTCCCAGCCACCGCTTCCACGTCGTTCTTGCGTCAGGGTAGATAACGTTCTGTCAAGGCAGAAACAAAGGGGTAGATTCTATGCGAATTCTTATCTGTCACGAGTGATGGACCTATTCAATTTCGAGTTTAAAAGCTTCCAAGCTTTCACAGCTCGTCTCATTTCTACGATACGATGTCGAGGACCAATTCTTTGCAAAAATCACGAATAAAATGGAAGCTTCGATATTATTCGAATTAATTTCCCGAATAACGAGGGTGAAATTTTATATCTGTCTCGAACGATAGACCTATTCAATTTCGAGTTTAAAAGCTTCGTCTCATTTCTACGATACCATATACCAAGCTTTCACAGGTCATCTCATTTCTAAGATAAGATGTCGAGAATCTATTTTTCGCAAGAATCGCGAATAAAATGGAAGCTGTGATGTTATTTGAATTAATTTCCCGAAGAACGAGGGTGAAATTTTAAAGGACGATCGGTTAATCGAAAAGAAATTGGGGAAGTGCTGGTTGTCCACGAATCGACTGGATCTCTCGAGTGGATATTAGCGGATATCTTTCGGCAATCGAGGTTCGACATAAATCTCGTGGATCACCGGTGGAACTCGGCAACGGGTTCCTGGTCGTTGGACGCCAATCTAAATGAAATCTACGGATCAGACGGGAGAGCAGAGATCACGGAGCACGCGGCGTGGAGAACCGGTAGATTTTCTCCAAGATTGTGCACACGCAATTACGCAACGAACGGGAAACGTAATCACACCAGGCGAATCCTTTGGAATCGAAGCTAACTGTGCTAGTTAGACCCTTATAAATCTCGTACGCCGGATCCCTCGTTCCCCGTACGCGTTGCTTAACCTTTCCAGTCGCTGATTCACCGTTTAATGCTGAATTTCCGTATTGACGTGTCGATCGTGTTTGCTCAAAATCATTACGTCCATTCGAGATAATGCTGATGGATGAATCCACCTTGCGAGAAATAATATTGACCGATAACCGGCGCCTCGATGGAGGTTGCTGTTTATGCAGTTGATTACACGCTTTGCGTTGCCCCCCTGTCAGATTTATTTCATATTTCTCTAATCGATCGAACGAAGAAGATGCTCGTCGAACAAGAAGCATCGTCTTCGACGCGGAATAAAAATCGAGGCTGAGTTTCGCGAAACGTCGAAACCTCGAAACCTCGAAATGCAAGAGACTTTCCAGTTTACAGAATTCGAAAGTTTACACGGTGTTCGTGATTTGGGATTCTGAACATACTCGAAAGGTAAGAACGTTCGTTATCTACGATATTCTCTGAAAGATCTACTCAATGCATTCGGTACTATAACCAATTATAAATAAAAAGTAGATTATATCCAGAAAAAGTTGAACTATCCATATTCCCAAAGAAGAATCTGGATCAGATACTTTTCCACGATATAGTGATATCGATAAATTTTTACGATTCACTATGAATTTTTATTAAAAATTCTACTACTCCACTAAAAGAATAATAAGTAGATTGTATTCAGAAAAAGTTAAGTATTGAGTATCGGTATTCTTAAAGAAGAATCTGGATCAAATACTTTTCCCCTATATATTGATATCCATAAACGATTTACTATGAATTTCTATTAAAAATACTACTATTTCTCTAAAGAAATAAAAAGTAGCTTATATCCAGAAAGAGTTGAGTATTGAGTATTGAGTATATAAAGAAGAATCTGGATCAAATACTTTTCCCCTACATATTGATATCCATAAACGATTTACTATGAATTTCTATTAAAAATACTACTATTTCTCTAAAAAAATAAAAAGTAGCTTATATCCAGAAAGAGTTGAGTATTGAGTATATAAAGAAGAATCTGGATCAAATACTTTTCCTCGACATATTGATATCCATAAACGATTTACTACAAATTTTTATTAAAAGTTCTACAATTCCACTAAAAAAAAAAAAAAACAAAGAAAGGAATTTTTACCAAAAATTTCGTGGAAATTTCAATTTTTCGTGGACGAAAGCTGGAATCTACCCTAAACCAAGTCAAGCTAGAGAAGAAATTTCTAAAGCAGAGCCATAAATTCCACGGATACCACCTACGACGTGCAACGTGGAAACATTCACAGACCTTTACCCCCAGAATCCTCGACAACCCCAATTCCAGGAACGTATCCCCGAATCTTCAAGGACCACCAATTATCCCACCGATTCCTGGAAAATGCTCGTTCCAGGCATCCGACTGGAGTCGCGAGCCTCGAGTTCTAAACCTTGGACAGACCGTTACTCTATCGGACATTCCCCGGGCCCAAACGAGGAGCCATCAACGAGGCATTCCCGCCGCGAGTGGACAAGGGAGGATGATATCGTGGTCCGCGCGCGTTCGATCGGAATTAGGCTTTTTCACGTTAGGATACGCTAACGAACCGTGTGCAAGAAGCTAATTCGATAATAATGCGTGAACAAATTGCACGGGAGTAACGGTGCAAAGCGTTGGCTCAGCGTGCGCGCGGCTAACGCGAACCGATCGCGGGACTTTAAAAAAGGTACACACAGTAGTGGCCGTAACCGGTTTTCAATGGAATCGGCGAAACGGCGAAAAATTCGCGGCGTTTTTCTTTGTCCGATTAAAACGTTCGACGCTCGCTGTGTCGCGTTTCGATTTCTTGCCGATCGCTGTGGTTAAAGGTAGGATACAAACACGGTTTTTCGACCGATTCGGGAAAATCGGTCATTCGCGGAAGCTTATGAGGACCGGTGCTCACTCGGGGTAACGTTTACGCGTGTAAAGTTCGTGCGACGCTGACGCGAACGCGTCACGCTTAGATTTGTGACGAAGATTTATTTAGCTATTAAATTATCGGCACGAGATAACGGAAAGTAAAAAGATGTAGGAATTTAATATTATTGCGGGATAAAGCGAGATTTACCGGGTAGGGATTGTTTAAACGAGCAAGGTGATTGATGGGGAAAGTCAATGGGCGAGTAAGCGTCATTCACGTTGATAATCGCACGGTTGTAGTCGGTGTGCTAACCAAATACAAGCGTATGCATACGAACGTGGTGGAATTCCTGGGATTTGTTCGGCGGAATGTAGAAGCAGTCGAGTAAAATTTTTCTTGCTAAGATAGCAGAACATTCTACGAGACCATTGAGAACTTTATGGACGAAAAAGATATCGTATATAACGCGCGTATTACTCTCGATCGTTATTAAGTAGATAAGGATATCAGATTGGTTGGATGGATTTGGCAAAATTATCCAGTCGATCAGAAATTGCTACCGTTTAAAAGATGGACGATCGAGGCGATTGAAATCAATTCCAACTTTGGATTAATCCTATACGCTATGATTTAATTATAAGAAACTGCGCGTCCTTTTATTGAAATTTAAATTGGCAATATTAGCAATTAGCAGTTAAATATAATCTCAGTCCAATGCGAGTGTAATTCATTTTTATGGGGTACAGCGATCGTTATTAAATTGATAGGAGTACCAAATTAATCGAATAGATTTGCCTGTGGCTGCAAAATGGCGTGGTTTATAAGAAGGACGATCGAGGAGATTAAAATCAATTCCAATTTTGAAATGATCCCATGCATCGTTAATTTAATTATAAAAAATTGTGCCTTTATCAATTATCAATTAATAGTTAAATATGATCTAGTCAAATGCAAGTATAGTTCATCTTTATAGGATTTAGCTTAGAAGAGACTCACAAATTAGCCTTTTGAGCTTAGCTTTAGCTTTAGGAGAGGTTCACAAATTAGCCTCGTGAGCTTAGCTTTAAATTTAGGAGAGACTCACAAATTAGCCTTGTGAACTTAGCTTTAGCTTTAGAAAAGACTCGCAAATTAGTCTTGTGAGCTAAACTTTCAATTTAGTAGAGACTCACAAATTAGCCTTTTGAGCTTAGTTTTAGCTTTATGGGAGACTCACAAATTAGCCTTGTGAGCCTAGCTTTAGTTTTAGGAAAGACTCACAAATTATCCTCGCGAGCTTAGCTTTAGCTTCAGGGAAGACTCACAAATTAGCCATGTCAGCTTAGCTGTAACTTTAGCTTGAGGAGTGACTCACAAATTAGCCTTATGATTCGATCATAACTCCAAAAAAAAAATTGTTTAATATTATTTCGAATACATCGCCTATTCCGACGCTCAAATTTCCCGCCTCGAAATTTATCCCATAACCAAAAATCGTTAACGGATCGACTAGGAATTCTCCGCTCTGCATTTCAATCGAAATTGACCACCACGAAATCGTTAAAGAAAATTCCCTAAATTTTACAATGCTCGTGTCGATATTTAGTTTTACGATTTTCAAACGAAAATCTGAAACTTTCTCGGCCGAAATCGTGCGGTTAAATCTTTATTATCGCTTCGCTAACGAATGACGAGAGCGATTCTTCTCGTTACTTTCACTTTCGCCTGGAACATCCTCTAATAATACGAGAAACACGGGACATTCATCCTAATCCCTCTAAAACCTGTATGGAGGAGACGAGGCAGAGAAATCGCAGCCACGTGAGCGCCAGGGGGAATCATATCGCGATTAAAGGCTCGTAGCTCAGTGAAAACGACAGGCTAACTTATCGCCGATTGGAAAGCGCGTAGGAGATACACCGGTGGTGGGAACGCGGCAGAAAAACCCCGTCGCTCGTTTAATTGCAATCCCCTATCACGTTCGAGGGAGCAAGCGTCTGTGCCTGATTAATTTCGCTAACAATTTCCGTCTCGCACGGAGACACTCGTTGCTCCGACATTGGCGAACTTCAAACGCGGCACGAGTGTTTTGTCTGCGAATTAAATTCCGTCACAACCTTTTCAACCACTCGACCCGTCTCTCTGATATTTCGTAATATTCCCGCCCTCGAGTCCACCCTTTTCCAGATTTATTTCAGAATCTTTTAAATCGTAATATCGCATTAACGAAGTTTCACGTACATATGCTAATCGGTACGAGTATTTCACGAAATTGCTGTACTTTTATGGCATATTACGAAACTTGAAATTCTCGTGGACAGAGATACGTGACTCGTTGATCTATGATCTATTACTAGATCCATTTACTAGATAGGGATTTTATTGCGGAGGGTTAGAAAAATTTAAATAGTTACAGTCGTTCTGTAATGATATGTCAATGCAGATGGTGAGTCACGAGTTACTAATACCAATTTTAAGGATTTGCTAATCGTTTCGAGTTATTCAAATTCACGGGTGCGAAAACGTAACGATTTTCGAATCTATGGAGAATTAGAAAAATGTAAATGGTTATGGCATGTCAATGCAGATGGTCAGTCACGAGTTACTAATACCAATTGTAAGGATTTGTTAATCGTTTCGAGTTATCCAAATTCACAGGTGCGAAAACGTAACGATTTTCGAATCTATGGAGAATTAGAAAAATGTAAATGGTTATGGCATGTCAATGCAGATGGTCAGTCACGAGTTACTAATACCAATTGTAAGGATTTGCTAATCGTTTCGAGTTATCCAAATTCACGGGTGCGAAAACGTAACGATTTTCGAATCTATGGAGAACTAGAAAAATGTAAATGGTTATGGAATGTCGATGTATTTCTGTAATGACATGTCAATGCTGATGGTCAGTCATGAGTTATTAATACCAATTGTCACGACTTGATAATCGTTTCGAGTTATCCAAATTCACAGGAACGAAAACGTAACGATTTTCGAATCTATGAAGAACTAGACAATTGTAAATGGTTATGGCATGTCAATCCAGATGGTCAGTCACGAGTTACTAATACCAATTGTCACGATTTACTAATCGTTTCGAGTTATCCAAATTCACAGATGCGAAAACCAAACAATTTTCGAATCTACGCTTTCTGCCTTTGGCAAAATTGACGTGAATTTTTATCGAGTCTGGAATGCAACAATGTTTAAACGTAACGTCGAATTATATAAGACATTTAGATACAACGCGACTCGGTAGTTTCAGCGGAAAAACACAATCGTAACCCGAGCCTGACATCCGGATTCCACGCGAGACGAGCCTCGAGCTAACCGATAGAGCGCGAATGAATTCGGTCGGATAAAATCGGCTGGATTTTCACACGGCCGTCTCTGTTGCGTGGACAAGCGCTAACTGTTTTGTTTATGCCGTCAATTGTCACGGTGGGGAAAATGGGTCAGGTACGATTTAACGCGGCCGCGCGAATCATCGTCGCGGAGAAGAATAGTCGTCGAACGTCCCAGTTTCCTCTGCGATTCAATGGGACGTTGTATCGTCGAATTAAAAACGAATCGCGATGCCAGATCTCCGGGACGAGCGATGAAATTTCTCCCTGGGTCCACGGCCTGGTAACGTTCGCGATTAACCATCGCGTAAAACCGATTCACCGCGGAAAAACCGCAGCAGGGGAGGAGCAGAAAAATAGTTTACGATAGCGTTTCATAGGGAATAAAAGACGAGAGGGAAAAAGAGAAATCGCGCAGCGCGATTCGACGCTGGATCCCTATATAGGGTGGTCGATAAATTTTCGATAATTTTATACCGACGTTAATTAGCAATTTTAGTAATCGTTAACGATTCCCCCGTGCCAATTACCGGGGATTAAACGTTCAAAGCGTCAGAGAGGGGGTAGGAATAAAACTACGCAATCGGTACCGAGATGAATAAAAGATGTAGCCGCGTCTCGTTAAAACGATTTCGACGAGCAAACGACTCTGAACGACGAACCAGCCAGATGTACGTCGGTGTGATTCACCGTATCGCGAGGTCAACTGGCTGAAATTTAGACTCGCTGTTAGTTTCGACCGAGTTACCGTCTAAATATCAGCGAGGATACGATCCATGGATCGACGGTGACTTCCAAATCCGAACGCTCTGCTCCATTCCATTCCCTGTGAATCGACTACCTTTCACGAATTCCCATTAACCTCGCGTCCATTAAACGGAGCGCCTTGATCTACCTATTCCTAAAATCCCGCAAAAACTATATCATTCGCGGAACTACCAATTTCGTTGGGCAAAAAGAGATTAAACGGTGAATCGAAGATCGAAAGGAGTTGATAAACCGATTGCCGAAGTTGGACAAAAACGGTATCCTTCGTGGAGTGGTCCGAGCCACGGTGAAAAGAGACATCCGACACTTTGGAGTCGATATGGCCGACCAAAACTCCGTCTATCCGACGGACTTCGTTGGATCTCGCTCGATTTCGTCGGATTCTATTGGATTCCGTCGGATTCTATTGGATCCCGCCGGATGCTATTGGATCCCGTCGGATTATATTCGACCCCGTCGGATTCTATCGGATCCCATCGGATTCTATTGGATCTCGTCGGCTCCTGTCGGATTTTATTGCATCCCGTCGGATTCCGTCGGATTCTATTCGATCCCGTCGGATTCTACTGGATTCTATTGCATCCCGTCGGATCCTATACGATCCCGTCGGATTCTACTGGATCCCATCAGATTCTATTGGATTCCGTTGGATCCTGTCGGATTTTATTGCATCCCGTCGGATTTTATTCGATCCCGTCGGATTCTACTGGATCCCGCTGGATCCCGTCGGATTCTACTGGATTCTATTGCATCCCGTCGGATCCTATTCGATCCCGTCGGATTCTACTGGATCCCATCGGATTCTATTGGATTCCGTTGAATCCTGTCGGATTTTACTGCATCCCGTCGGATCCCGTCGGATTTTATTCGATCCCGTCGGATTCTACTGGATTCTATTGCATCCCGTCGGATCTTATTCGATCCCGTCGGATTCTACTGGATCCCGTCGGATCCCGTCGGAACCCGTCGGATTCTACTGGATTCTATTGCATCCCGTCGGATCCTATTCGATCCCGTCGGATTCTACTGGATCCCGTCGGATCCCGTCGGAACCCGTCGGATTCTACTGGTTTCTATTGTATCCCGTCGGATCCTATTCGATCCCGCCGGATTCTACTGGATCCCGTCGGTTTCTATTGCATCTCGTTGGATCCCGTCGGATCCTGTTGGATATCATAACATCCCATTGGATCTCATCGAATCCCGGTGGATCCTATTGGATCTCGTTGGATCCCTCGGATCCCATCGGATCCCGCGACCCGACGTCGAATCGGAACTAGCGAACAGGGATTCTTGGATCCGTACCTACGGCGACGATGGCGGATCCAAGGCCACCGACATATTCGAGTATACCGACCTAGTTTCTCTCCGGAGCAGGCGGTCCCCGCTCGTTCTCCGTGCTGATTCATCCTGCGTCTGGCCTTGTCCTCGGCTCTCAGCTTGTCCCTGGTCGGTGGAGACGCGCTGCTCGCCGGCTGATCCCTGTAGCTCGACCTACCCTCGCTGGGCACGATCGGTGGCTTCTCCGACAAGGACGCGCCGCTGGACGCGGTGGTGGACGTGGACGTGGTGGAGAACACGGTGCTGGACACGGTGCCGTTCATCGCGGAGGTGGATGGGACCGAGGACAGGTAGGCGGAGCCACCGTTCTCCAGCGGGGTGCTGGTCCTCAGAGGCGACACGTTGCTGGTCCGATGCTCGTTCACGGTTTCCGCGTTCCCGTTGCTCATGCTCGCGTTGCTTGTCGTCGTCGAGGTGCTGTTGGTCCCCAGGGTCGGTGCCGAGGAGAACACCGATGGACACAGGTCCGTGGACACGCTGCTCTCCTGGACCCACGTGTTGCTGCGGGGCTCCGAGCGACAGCTGTTGAATCGAGGTCGAGGAGGGTTCGGCGTGTTGCCTGAAAGCGGAGCGATTTTTGAGGTTAGATATGGTTGCAATTCGACGAGGAAGCTTGGAAGAGGAGTGCAATAGAAAGACGGAGGACGGTCGTTTTAATCGCGCACTGTCCTCCGCAGCAGCAATCTGCGCTTAATTTACGCTCAAGTGGCACTCGCGCGAGATATTCGTTTAACGTCTTAATGGATCAAACGTTGACTTCGAACTCTCGTGCTCGATTAACCGCTGCTTGTCTGCGAATAAAAACCTATCGAGCGCAAGTAGCAACCTCTCCGACGTGCCTCTCTTCAGCTATTCGACTCGCGCGAGAACCGATTGGATCGACATCGGGTAAGAAACGATAAAGTATCATCAATTACTCACTTCTGATCGCCGGAGTGACCTGGAGGATGCTGGTCTGTCCACCGGGGAACGTCGCGTTCCTCTTGTGCCGGCCCTGAAACACGATTTCGACCTCGATTAATCGCTGGTCCACGGCCGAAATAGGTGATCGAGTCCCTTACGGCTCGATCGATCGTCCTCGCAGCGACGGGATCTCGTGGTGCGTATAAAGGACACGCCTGGGTCGATTAAAAATCGCGTCGGTTGTTATCTTGGCGCGAGTCGCACGGCCGTCGCGACTGCATGCCGGAATGCCGTAGAATTCGAACGTGGGCGACGCTACGAGGGCAGGCGTGTGCGAGACCAGGTCGCGGTAGGCGGCCGCAATAACGGCAGATAACAGCCACGCTGATAATATTCCGCGGGGCTGCGCTCTTCCCGGCGTGCATAATTCATAAGACCGCGGCCCCGTGTACCGGCCCGTGCCGGACAAATGCGAACACGAACGATTCCATCCACTCCACCGTCGAGATCTTCTTACCGGCCCGATCTCTCGATAGGCCAAAGAGGATTTCCACCGGTCGCCTGTATGCTAAATATCCTCGTCGCGTGCTCCTTCCGACATTTTCCATTACGATCCACACCAGTTTTCGTCCATTTTTCACGCTCCCACCGCGAAACGCACGCTGTCACCGATACGTCGATTCATACGCCCTCGACATTTTTCTCCTTGCGACACGCTTACCGCTTTATCGAATCGACGTCGCTGCGAACTTATTGTCACGCGTCGCATACGATATGTAAATTACGAAGCGAACGCGTTGCGTGCTCGCGTGAACGAAATTTGCATTTTTGTCCACGAGTAGTAACGATGGGTGGCAGTCTGTGGCAGCAGATCGGCCATTGTCGTACCGATATGATAAAAATTTTCCTACGACAGAGATAGTTGGCAGACTCGCGATAGTCTCGGGAAAAATAACGTAAAGCAGAGTAAGGCTTTCGAAAATCTTACGACACTCTGTCGACCGGACACGTCAATTAGAGTCCTCGATTGAAACTAACGCCAATTGACATTCCGTTTCGAATAATCGTATCATGGCACGGAATAGCTGAGAGCACCTCGAGTCTTGCGAAAGCTCGATAGCTTCGGGTATATCTTCGAAAATTAATCGCGGCCGACACACGGCAACGCGAAATTATGCGAAGAAAAAATAAAACGTAACGGTAATTCCGATCTGACATGTCTTAACGCTTTAACGATCGGCACGCCAATTAGAATCCCCGATGGAACCTAACGTCGACTGACGTCCCATGCGAAATGAACGTGTCGCGATAATTGAAAGCTCTTTGGCTCTCGCTAGAGAGTCCACGAGTCTGATGGACTCCGGCAAGTACCGAATAACGAGACGTTATCCCTAACGAAAGCACCCAGTAAATAACTCGAGGATCCACCGAATACTTGAATTAGGCACCTCCATAACCAAAACGCTCGGAAATGACTATACTCTCCGTGCAATCTTTGGAGCGTCCCGCGATTAAGCGGAAAGCGAGCGGAAAGCGAGCGGAACAGGTGGCTGGTCGGCCAGTTTACTCTTCAAACGGAAAGAGATCGCGCGGGGTGTTTTATTTGGCATGGCAGGGCTACGTGCGGCTTTTACGACAGGCGACCAACGCAACGAGCAGAGGAAATAAAAGGCGCGGGGAGGCCCGTTTCCTACGCGCGTTCACCGGTTCGCTCCAACGTGTTGGCGTACGTATACGCGTCGCCTTGGCCTCCTAACGTAATCGTACGTTTACACCGGGCGGCAGGTCCGCGCGGAGACGACGAGCCGTTTCCATTTGCCGATCGATCATTCCTTGCGTAACGGACCCAAAGCGAACGCGCGAACAATGCGCCCCAGCATCCACGGACGATCGATCGATCGATCGAACGCGACGCCGACTCCGATCCCGACCCATTCTCGTGGTGCCGATCCCTGCTCCACGTCCACCGCGTTTCAACCGGCCGATTTCGGACGTCCATCTTGGGTTCCTCCGCTTTGCGAGTCTTGGGTTCCTCGCGAGCTTTCGTTCTCGTAGGAATTTTCGGTGAGTCCTCACACGAGGTATTTGGAATCCGTCGAAGCTTTCGTTGGATGATGAATTTGGATGATCCCAGGGATGAAGGAATTCTTTGCCAATTTTCATTCCATCGCTAATAATAGATTGACTCGCGAATTATTTCCTTTAACGACTACTTAAATGTCAAATAGCATAGTCACGATAGTCTTCGCGAATTAATTTTAAAAAATTCTATTATTTAGTTCACACTCGAAAATTTGGAATATCTAATTAATAGTCTGAATGAATAAGTTTTTCTGATTTTTGAATACGGTGAATTCGAAATGAAAAATGCTATCACTGAGGATTCTCTTCCGGACTGTTTAAATATTATTCGGGATGGTGATTCACGGGGCTAGGCGAAGGCACGCAGCGACGATTCGTAGATTTAAGAGCCTTGTCTGATTTTTATCTCGGCAAAGAGAAGCGTCGCTACTCTCCCATCGATCATTCGTTGCACAACGCGTGGTTGTCGAGAGTCTAGGTAACGCGGCAAAATGACAGTCTCCCGACGACAGGCTACACGATTCACGAACAGACGCCTTGATCTATCGGGCGATCGCGAAACGCGTAGATCACGCCGCGGATAACATCGACGAGGCTCTTTTATTGTTTCGACGTCGGCGTTAATTCATCGGTACGCGGGTTTTAAGATATTCCCATTCGCGAAGGACGACTTTGCACGTTCGCGCGGCAATTATTCGAGATAATCACGGGAAGGAGATAATTCGAGGTGGAAAGGAGAGAAAAAATTGGGAAAGCAATCGATCAAACCGTCCCACGGGGCTTATCGTATCATTTTAAATTCGACGATGGTGTTGCATCGTAGGATCATTACCGCCGTGACGCAACTCTATCCTTCCTTTAATTTCATAATCTCGTACCTGGTAACTTTTACATAGGCACGGAGAAAATTTTCCAATTAGAACCCTTAATCTTAAACATCGAATTCGTAACAATTCCCATTTTTTAATTTAATTTATAACAATTTTTAACCTCTCAGACAAGATGCACCACTATATAGTGGTTCTCGGGGATGCCATTTTTCTGAGCAATGGCTCACTCTAGTGGCTCACTCGTTCGCCATTTGAATTAAGTGCTTTTTAATTTTAATTAAAACCCTTAATCTTAAAGATCGAATTCGTAACAATTCCAATCTTTTAATTTAATTTATAACAATTTTTAACCTCTCAGACAAGATGCACCACTATAGTGGCTGTCGTGGATACCATCTTTTTGAACGACGCATCACTATGGTGGCTCACTCTAGTGGCTCACTCGTTCGCCATTTGAATTAAATGATTATTAAATTTTAATTAAAACCCTTAATCTTAAAGATCGAATTCGTAACAATTCCAATCTTTTAATTTAATTTATAACAATTTTTAACCTCTCAGACAAGATGCACCACTATATAGTGGTTCTCGGGGATGCCATCTTTCTGAACGACGCGTCACTATAGTGGCTCACTCTAGCGGCTCCTCGTTCACCGTTTGAATTAAATGATTAATAAATTGTAATATATTTTCTTTCGCACTTTTCTTGCCTTCACAACACACTGTTTTATAACAGTGTTAACAACATACAGTCTTTGTTTTTAACACGCCAATGTCAAGTATGAATTGTTGCTTTTCATTTAAATAAATATACCATTTGCTCTTACATAAAGATGCTCTTGTTAACATACAGATCCGTATCCTTATAATTTTTTAGAACAGCATTGTTCGTCACACGTTACAATGTTGTATCCTTTAGGTGTAATTGGAATTAGCCTCGCGCAAAATCCTGCCATGCTTAAGAGATTAAAAAAATGGAAAGAAAAATAAGAAATAATCGTACGTCAACCCCACGAAATTGAACGATCCTTGGGTTCTCGAACAACACCCCTAATAACCGATCAAAGGCACTCATTGGACCCCCTGAATCCACGAGGGTGAATCTTCCGCGGGAAAAACACTCGTGCTGCCAACCCCATGACATCCAACGGCTCGACGCCTTCGAAACTCCTTCGCCTGCCAAACAACGCCCCTGCTGTCCAATCAAAAGCATCGATGGTGGAAACGCGCTCAATTAAAATTAATTGAATCGCGCTCGACATCGAGCTAATCCCTCGTCGCGTCTCTGAATCCATCCTGAATACCTGTCAGCCACCGAACCCGGCTGAATCGCCGGGGAATCGAATTGAATCGTCCCTGTTCACGGATTAACAAACAACCGCGATCATTCTGCATTGTCGCGCTGTTTCCACGCGGTCGCGAGCATAATCGGCCCTATTCCCGCGAACGGCGATAAGAAACCGGCGAAGAAGCGGCGAGTGGCACGCGGAACGATCGAGTGAATCGCAGAAAAGCGGCAATCGGCGCGCGGCTACGGTGCAGTTTTGCCAGCGCGGCATTATTTCGCGCTGTAACGAGCGTGACGCCGCGACAGCGCGCGCTAATGATCCAGCATTATCGCACTTTTGCCGGCTACGTTTCTTTCCCAGTGTCCTCGCTCGTTCGTTCCGCGGCCGGATTAACCGAGCTCGATCCGCCATTTTGTTGCAAAATGGTGCAACTCCCGGTGCAAATTAGACATCCGCGTATCTCCGATCCTCCGAGTGCTTGTGTATCCTTCACCATGGGCGAACAGCTATACCCGTGGATGGGGTTGACTGATAGGAAACGGGAGAACGAGGGAGCAGGTGTTATAGTCATTGGAAGATGCCAGAGAGCATCGCTAAACAGATGCTGTCTCGAATGGCTCTCCAATTAGGCTGATATTTAACCATCGAGGGAATATCTGACAATCCTCGGTTGATTTTATATCTCGCAGAGGAATATAATAAGCGAAGATAGTTATCCATTAAATCGGTGCTTAAACTTAAATATCCGATTAGCGGGGGACAAAAAGTGGAAAAACAACGGGGGTCTAAAGACAACCCCGTGGCACATAAAACAGTTTACAATAAGAAGATACCCCCCTCGGAGTCGGTCATTAAATCACCGGCAATAACGGCGTAGAAAGCTTTCGATACTCGAAACCCGCGAACCCACTCGTTAGACGGTTCAATTAAAGCACCCGACTCTAACAAAGCCATAATTAACCCCTGTGATCGTGCGCCACGGCGCGTCGATATCTCCCACGAAGCGTTGGTCTGTTCGTCGATGACTCGACGAGCTATCGGCGCGTTCGATTTTCCGCTGGAAAATTGAAAACGCCGGAGTCAGAGTGGGCGGAAGGCCGCGGAAAAACCGCAGGCGGCCGCGTTGTCGCGTTTCGTTTCCTCGCGGGAACGCGAACAGCGTTTCGAGCGTGAGCCTATTAAAGCTATTTCCGCCGGTGAGACAAGTCGACGCGACTGGTATTACTGCACGCGTAACAAGCATGACGCAGAAGGATGTAGTAATGATTATGCGAGCACCGTAATCAACGAATGACAGCGGCCTCGTCAGCGTGACTTCTTTTTCGCGTTGGATCCAGGTCCGCGGAACGTGTAATTCGACGCTGTTAGAACGCGCCTTAACTTATTTCCGATTCGCTGGGAATTTCAGTTCATCGACGTCGGTGTCCCTATGGAATTCCCTAGGGATCAGAAGGATTTAGGCGATCGGGGATAGTAAATTCTTATCTTTTCGTTAGTAAAGCGTTTCATGTGTTATTCGTCGAACCTAACCTAACTTAACCTAACACAAACCGGATGATGATGCGAAAGCGTAACACTGTCGATCTGTTGCAAATTTCTATTGATCGATAGATCATCAGTGAAGATGAAACAATCTCGATTGATATTATTATCCAATTGAGATTTCGAATAATTTTCTCGACGAAATATTAATTTTAGGGACGTTTCTTAACATTTTGACACGCAAATGCATCGCGATTTGACCATCCTTCACGCGATAACCGATTCGGTGGGAATTTTATTTTGTCAACGTCGGTGTCCCTATGGAATCCACTAGGATCAGGAGGATTTAGGCGATCGGGGATTATCCGTTCGTGTCTTTCCGTCACTAAAGCGTTCCATGTGTTATTCGTCGAAACTAACCTAACTTAACCTAACACGAATCGGATGATGACGCGAAATGGTAACACTGCCGATCTGTTGCAAATTTCTATTGATCGATAGATCATCAGTGAAGATGAAACAACCTCGACTGATATTATTATCCAATTGAGATTTCGAATAATTTTCTCGACGAAATATTAATTTTAGGAACGTTTCTTAACATTTTGACACGGAAATGCGTCGCGATTTGGCCATTTGTCGTACAGTGCTTAACTTTAAAAGGAAACTATGCATTACGAGTGGTAAATGGCAAATTTCGTTCTTCGAAGTCGCAATAGACCCGTGTGTTTCTTCGGCGATGGGGAATAATCGGGTACTCGCGATAGTTGTAATATTTTTCTCGAGCAAACCTTGTTCCACGAGTAGACCTCGAGCACGTCAGCCCACCATCTGGTTTCCTCGCGGCACGTGCCTTTCACGAAGGTAACTCCTTCCGGCGAGGTGATGGCGAGGCTGTAGGGATGTCCAGTGACGTCCTCGGCGGCGGCAACCTCCAGCACGCGGGTCATGTCGATCATCGCTTGGGGAACCGTCTCCGGCTGCAACAGAAACATCACGCGGGCCCGTTAATCATCGACAAGTCCCTTTATCCAATGGCGCATTGCTCGCAGCTGGCAATTTGATCGAGCGGCCAGCCGGTAGCCGGTGATTCGATTTAATAATATAATCGTTTAATAACGATCGACGTGGCTGCGGGGCGTTCTATTTCTCAAGAATACGCGAGGAAGACCTAGAAACACAGAAATGCCAACCGGGTCAATTGAGATGCAATTTAATCTCTATCTGGAACAGCTTCGTTCCCGATCGATATGGAGCAATTAAAACGTCCCCGTTGATCGGCCATTGAACGTGCGTATGTAAATGCGCGCGGTGATAGTCGGAGGAGCTGTCGATTGCGCGGATGGCTCAATTAAGCTTTCATTAAACGCTTTGTACAGCCTCCAATCCACTGCCCCGATTCCCCCGCCATTAAGCTCGTTTTTTAAAGGTCAAGCGTCCGCTCGGCAAGACCGAAAGGATCTCTTCGGTCCAATTAATCGGAACCACGGGCAATACCATCGAACCGAACGAGCAAGTCATCCCGAGCAGTCCGATGCAAGAAATTAATCGCTCGTGCTTATTTTAATTAGCGCGTTTTTCGCCACGGAGCAAAATACGCCTACGATCCACCGATGTCTCCCTTAGAAACGGACTATCGGTGACGTCGAGCCACGGAAAAAAGGACACGAGCGAAGTAGTGTTTGCTGAAAGTAACAAAGCTGCTAAATATCATAATAAGATACATCCTCGAGAACGGCCGACCGGTTCTACCCGGCAAAACGGCGAATTAAACAACGATCTCCCTTTTTTAATCGATTGGCCAACTACCAGGAAACGTCCGAGCTAAACATCCAAGCTTTTTACCGTTCGTTTTCGACGGCTTTCGCGAGCCAGTAAACCGAGACAGGCCGAACGAGCGAGAAAGACAGGCCGTCCGTGAGAGAGAACCAGGTTTCACCGTAATTTCGCGTTTATTTGTTCACCGTGGTGTACGCGCGTCCCGCCACGCGTTTTATTGCAACGGGATAATTTAGTGCGCCGTATACGGACGGCGGTAAAAACATCGCGACAGTGTGGCAAGGTGGAACGAGCAAAAGTCCTACCCATTGCCACTATGTCGCCGATTTCGGTCGCCGCGCGGCGCCACGCGCGCCGGAAACGCGCCGCTCCATCGCGCTCCGCCATTCCCGCCAATCGTAAACGCCGCCGCTTCCCGCGGAATAACGCCGCGATTACTGCCACTTCTCGCCTCGTAAAACGAAACCGAGTCGATTCCCGAGCGGAGACAGCCGCGGAGCTAGGCACGCCGGCCGCCATTTTCGTTCGCCGATGCAGCAACTGGCGGACTGAAAATCGGTGTCGAAGCCATCCTCCTCTCTGTCCTTTTTTCCACTTTTCTCCACCACGTTTCTTCTCCGTGTTTCTTCCCTCCACTTTTCGAAATTGCTACCTGGCACGGATCCAAGCGGAAAAGTATGTAATCGCTGCGGAAATATGGATTTTTCCACTCGGATTACATCCACGAGTTATTACAGGTTGCGACCACTCTTTTACCCGAGTACCTCGTTGAAACGGGACGAATGATTGGTAGCCAGAGACGTGCTATTGCTCTCGTTAATCGCGTTATTTAGGTTAGCCATCGAACGCTTCTCGAATACCACTCGCGATAAGTCCGGATGTAATTATACGTCCGCGAGTATGGATAACGCGGGCAGGAATAATTCGACGAAACGAGAATCATCGGCATTTTCCTGCGTAATGGTCGAGTTATAGCATGCCAAAAATAAGGTACACAGTCCACAATGCGCAGACCATGCTCGCCGCCATTTATCCCGATTATTATACCTCTAACCCTCCAATCATTCTGCAAATCGAACGAGTGGACGTTGTGTAACTCTATCATCGCGAATGCGACACGTTGCTTGTTAACACACTGCATTCCGCATAGAAATCTGTAAGATATACGCCAGGGACCGTGCGTTTTGACAAGACAGTGCGTTGACATCTAAGGCTCTCTGATAGATGGCGCGCGAAATATGAGAAAATTCGTGAGCAATGTGTTAATATCCACCAAGCATATCATCATCCGTGATAACGACGTGATATCGCGGTTTGACAGGTGCGAGTTGTCGGAAAAGCTAAACGCTGTCAACGTTCGCGGCTACCGCGGAGCTGTTCTCCTGGGGCGGGAAGAAAAAAGGAAAAAACGGAGCTTCCTTATTGGTCGTAGAAAGTCGCCAGCGAGGAAGAAAGATCCGTGAAAACGACGTCGTGAAATGCAGCCACGACCGCGATTCGCAGGCCTCGGGAACGTGTAATCGGCCGTGGCGACCGGCACCGGAGAGGAAACCGGGGGAGAAAAGGGACCAGAGCGACCGGTGAAAATGCTCGGCTTTGAAACTCGGCTGTTCGTGACTGCGACAAAGTATCATCTCGAAACGACGATTATCCCTTCGAACGCGATTGACGTGGTCTGTATACCGGCGTCGACCATGGTTTTCGCGTTAAAAACTGGCCGGCAGCGACGGTCGAAGGGAGGAAAGTTGAAGAGGGTTCTCGAGGAGCGCTCGCGATCGAGGGGAATCGGAGTCCGATCGAGAGGTAGTTATGCCATCGTGGTGAATTCGGATCGAAGGTTTGATTGGCACGGGAGAATATGGGTGCTCGTTATCCAGAAAACTGAAGGGAACGTGACGGGTAAAAAGCGGCGAATTTCGAGGCTGTAAATTCGCAGGAATTTCGTTTCGCCGATTTACGATCCAATTTACTTTTTAAGGCTCGCGGGAGAATCGCGGATAACGGGTTATCTATCTATAATTTGTCGGTCACGATACACTTTATCCGTCTATAGTTTCAAAGAATGCGGTATTTTTCGAGGCAACCGTTTAACCTAGAACCGGTGAACCCCATTCCTGCACCGCCTACTTGATCATTAGTGCATGCTTATCGAAATGCGTTTATTTTTCCACCGAATTAATGGCAATTAACGAAATTAGTAATGCAAATGACGGGAAAGAGATTTATTAAAGAACGCGTTTCGATTTTTCGTTCTATTTAATTTTTAACACCGAACTCCGAGTTCCTCGTCTTTTCATCTACTTTCTACCTAATCGCATAAACTGGGATTTAGAGCCTCGATATAGCAGAAAATCCGTCTTACTTTAACCCGAATTATTTGTATTTCATTCCCGACTCTCGACTCTCCACTCTCGGCTCGATCCAAGTGCATACGCGTACTCGTACTCGCTCCATATTCGTAGGATGAAAATTCGAATAATCGACGTTGGGATAACCGACCCGTCGCGACTCGATATCTTACCACACCTTATTCGAGTCACCGGCAATTTCAATCTACTTCGAGTTCCCGTAATCCGATCCATGCTTCATCGAAGCTCTCCTCGTTAATACCCGCCGACGAAAGTCACAAAGTTGCAACGCCGAGCGAAATAACGCGTCCCGCGAGGGCATTAAAAGCGCGCGTAATTCGAAACTCGTAGCCCGAGTCGTCCGCGATTTTTCAGCCGACTCGGGCGCAACAACGACATTACTCTCGCGGCTGGTTCACGCGCGTCCACCTTTTCCGTGTCCATACATTTCTCAGCACGCCCCGCATTCGCGTGCACGCGAAAAATTTACATTTTACAAACGCGCGCACGCGGCCGTACGTCGCCGGTCTCGAAAACACGAGCGTCGACCGGGCGGCATTTTAAACCGCGCCGCGCCATTTTTCACCTTCTTTCGCACGCGCGACCGCGTTTACCCGCGCGACGCTTCCCTCGTTCCTCGCGCGGCCGCTTGATTAAGCGGTATAAGAGGCCGCTGACGAACCTTTACCGTTAGCAGCCTCTTTTATCGCGAGGGCAGGCTAATGAACCGCTTCCAACGCGCAAAAATCTACGTTTAACAAATTTCCCCCACCCGAGCACCACGCGACTCCTGCGACTCCTGCCACGGCGAACAAACGAGCGGCCGGGATAATTTAAGGCGTAACCCTCGCGATGTTTCTTCGGCCATAACGAACAGTCGTCCTCCGATCTTCCGGATCGCTGTGTTTTCTTATTTCACTCCTCTCTCTCTCTCTCTCTCTCTGTCGCAGACGTTTTATGCCGTTTCGAAACGAGGCGTAACGAGTAGAATTTTTCCGCGTTCCGTATTCGATTACGGAAAGAATCGTCGGTCAGCTCTAATCCGTACTGTCATTAGGAAGAATAAAATCCGCCATAAACGTACGAAACGGTATCTTTGTTCGGTGCCACTGGGAAATGAGTCTCGTGTCGTAACGGGACAATAAAGTTCGGTTTAGGTTAATAAATTCCGTCTATCCCATACAACGTCTCTATCCCTGCCGCGAACCCCAAAGACACCGAGTGTTCAGCGTTCCGCGATAGACATGGGAGCAGGCGACTCGAGAAAGCAGGCCACAGCCCATAACTCACCCCTAAAACAGCGCCTACCTACGATCTCGCAGCGACTCGCGTTCCTCTGACAGCCGATTCTCCTCGCCGTGCCCCGTGCTCGGCAGAAACACGTGGCAATGCAGCCGAGATGAATTTCACCGGTGGCCGCGGCGGAAAAAACGCAGAAATTTGTTTTCATCGCGGAGGAAAAGGAATCTGCAGCTGGAACTCGCTAATCCGGTTAACCGACTGCCACCGATCGACGCGATAGTAAATCTCCCAGCGCGGCGAACACGAGCGCACGACGCTTTTACGACGCTCGGGCTCGATCCACCGACAGCCCGTTAGATTCCGCGCGGCGAAAATCGGCCGGTGTTCCCGGGACGACGAGACGTACGGTCGACGGTGGCCAATAAAATGCGAGATTTAGAAACGACCGACGAAATTCCAGCCGCTCGCAGCGCGGCGTTCTCCGCGGCGCAACGGGCCCCGCCGTCTTACTTTCTATTATCCGCGTTCTTGCCACGGCTGAATGGAGACCGTACAATTAAGTACACTTGACGTTCGTACACGGCGATCCATGAAACGTCCAACGCTCCCGG